TCAGCAGTGGATTCTTATATTTGACACCAAAAGCATGAGCAATAGCAACAAAAAGTCAACTCATTTTAAAAATGGGCAAAGCACTTGAATAGACATTTCTCCAAAGAAGATGTACAAATGGGGAACAGACATGTGAAAAGATATTTAATATCATTAGTCGTTAGGAAAATGCAAATCAGACCCACAGTGAGATACCATGTCTCACCTACTAGGACGGCTGTAATTTAAAACAAAACCCCCCAAAACTAGTGTCGGTAAGGATGTGGAGAAAATTGGAATCTTCATATATTGCTAGGAGGAGTCTAAAATGATGCAGCTGCTGTGGAAAACAGTTTGGTGGTTCCTCAAAGAGTTAAACATGGATTTACCGTGTCACTCAGCATGTCTACTCCTAGGTACATATCCAAAAGAACTGAAAATAGATTCAAACAGATTTTGAACAGGGTTCAAACAGGGTTTGAACAGATTCAAACAGGGTTCACTGCAGCATTATTCACAGTAGCAAGAACGTGGAGACAACTCATGCGTCCACCAACAGATGAATGGATAAACAAAATGTGGTGTATATATATATATACAATGGAATGTTATTCAGCCGTAAATTAGAGGTTACCAGAGAGGCTAAGGGAATGAGGGAAATGGAGAGGTATTGCTTAATAGGTAGAGTTCCGGGATGAGGTGATGAAGTTTTGGAAAGATAGTAGTGATGGTTGCACAGTGTTTTGAGTATAATTAATGCCACTGAATTGTACATTTAAAAATGGTTAAAATGGCCAATTTTATGTTATATTTTTTACCCAATTTAAAAAAAGTATGTTTAAAATGCTTATTAATATAACGCCTGACACATAGTAAGTCCTCAATAAAAGCTAGCCATTATGTTAATAACAGATACAAAACAAACTCAAGTATGAAAAGACTTCTCAGGCATGGAGGACTGTAGCTGCCATAAAAACTGTACACTTAGAATTACCCATAAGATAAAGTAGCAGATTCAGAGCATTGAAGGAGGGGCAGCTTATAGTAAAGTGGGGTAGACAAATAAACTATTAAAAATGTAAAATAAGGGACTTCCCTGGTGGTCCAGTGGGTAGGACTCTGTGCTCCCAGTGCAGGGGGCCCGGGTTCAATCCCTGGTCAGGGAGCTAGATCCCACATGCATGCCGCAACTGGGAGCCCGCATGCCGCAAGTAAAGATCTGCGTGCCACAACTGAGACCCAGCACAGCCGAGATAAATAAAATAAATAAATATTTTTAAATATATATATAAAATAAAATTTAAAACTGTTAAAAACACTTGAGCATTAGAGTCAACAATACCTCAGGATTCCCTAAGAACATTACTGTTTTGACAAGAGACATCTAAAAAAGGATTTTTTTGAAAGTAGTTCTGTACTTCAAAAGATTGATACTAGTATCGTGTATTTCTACTCAGTTGGGTTACATTTTTTTTTTTTTTTGCGGTACGCGGGCCTCTCACTGCTGTAGCCTCTCCCGTTGCGGAGCACAGGCTCCAGACGCGCAAGCCCAGCGGCCATGGCTCACGGGCCCAGCTGCTCCGCGGCATGTGGGATCCTCCCGGACCGGGGCACGAACCCATGTCCCCTGCATTGGCAGGCGGACTCTCAACCACTGCGCCACCAGGGAAGCCCCGGGTTACTTTTTTTTTAAGTTTTTGTATTTAAAGGATTTGCTTAGAAAATTAGGTTATGTGGAGTGCCTCATTCTTCAAAAGTGTTGAATCTAAATGAAGTGTTTTTGTATGATAGGAACATAAATTCTGCATTTAAACACTGAGAAAACTGCCTAGCATTTGCTTTTTATAAATTTTCAATCTTCTTTTCCAGGAAGATTCCTGATATTACACCCACTGTAAATGATCAGAAACCATCTGTATCAAAGTCTGGACGGAAGATTAAAGGAAGGGGCACAATTGTATGTGTGTTAAAACTGGACTTTTTTTCAGATTACTTATCTTAAGCGGTAAAATGTTTTTACCTCTAGGCAGAATCCTAGCTTTAATCTTAGGTATAGTCCAAAATCTGTCCAAGGAGCTAGTTGTATTCTACATAGTTATGGGAAGGCACTGCTGTTAGATTAGTGTTTACTGCTGTGTTTGAATGGGTTTGAATATGAAATGAATGTGAAATAATCCGTATGCTGAGAAATGTTAGTATATTGAATAATCTAGGCTAATGAATATAACCATTAGGACTTCAAAGAAGAAATTTTTCTGTGTGATTACAGGTGAATCTCCAGCTTTCCCATTCTTTTTAGTTTGACACAACTTCATACCATCTTCTTGGTACTTCAGTCGTTATTGCCTTTGAATGGCGTCAGAGATTGGGTCTTATACCTACCCCTGTCCTATAGCAGATTACAATTAAGAGATGTTTTGAAGGTAGTTATTCCTAACTTTGTTTTTAAAGCGCTATCACACACCTCCAAGATCAAGATCCTGTTCCGAATCAGATGATGATGATAGCAGTGAAACTCCTCCTCACTGGAAAGAAGAAATGCAGAGATTAAGAGCATATAGACCGCCTAGTGGAGAAAAATGGAGTAAAGGAGATAAGTAAGTATAAGTACAATCTTGTGTCCTCTATATTTTAAGTCTTAAGGGGATAGAGACATATTTCTGGACTTTTCACTAAATATTTACCTTTAAAATTAGACTGTGACCAAAGAGAGTACATTTGGGAATACTTGGTGAAATGGGAGGAGGGCTGCTTGACTTTGGGTGCTTTTAAATCAAAATTCTGTTTTCCCTCACAAGACTATAACCCTCCTGAATTTCTTAAAGATTTCTTGTTCAATTTTAGAAATAATCAGGACTTAAAAAAAAAATTATATAGCAGATTCTTTCCTAGCCTGTTCTCATAATCACTAATGAATAAATGGGTAGATAGGGAAATCTGTTCCCAGTGTGTGTGTTAACTTCTGACCCCAGGGACTTTTGTTTCTTCAGAAGTGTATCCATCTCCTGTCTTCAGTGACACTCCACAGTGCAGTATCTATTTTAGAAATGGGGCTGGCCCCAGAATAGCTAGTGCAAAATATACCAATGGGACCCTGTGTAATTGTTCATGGTAGAATTCTGTTTTTCTCTGTGGGCATCCGGCAGAATGGTTCGAAGTTAGAAGAGGGAGGAAGAGGTGTGCCTCTGCTGTGTGGAAGTGGTGTAGACACAGTGGCACTGAGAACTCTCAGTTTTGAGCCCTGACATTACCACTGAGATATTGTAAAGTGTGCATCTATTTTCATGTACTTTTCCCCTAATTTCTGTACTAAGTAGTTTAACTAAAACCATAGGGGGAAGTTGTTGGTTACCTATATGAGGCTGAGATAAAAACAGTAGTCATGTTTTTAAGGAATTCCCTGGTGGTCCAGTGGTTAGGACTCGGGAGTTTTCCCTGCTGGTGCTCGGGTTCGATCCCTGGTCGGGGAACTAAGATACCACAAGCCGTGCAGCCAAAAAAGAAAAAGAGGCTTTGCCTAAAGTTCAGGCAGTTATCCTGTATCTGCAGAGAATTAACAGAATTGTTTGGGAACTTGATTTGATTCTCCCTCAGAAATTATTCCTGGAGGCAGAGTGTTACTGAGTGGAATTCAGTAGGGCAGCAGTGCTTTTGTGATTGCTGTAGTTGGTTTGCTTTTCAAAACTATTTTCCTGTCGAATTTGAAAATTCTTGGCTTGGCTCTGAAAAAAATCCTTTTGTAAGTCTGATAGTAGTGATCTGATAGTAATGATCTCTTTGAAATTACAAGGTCGGGACCAGGCCTATCAACTGTTGGTTTATCCTTCCTATGTGTGCTTAAAGTGTTGACAGAGTCAGTACTTGGTTGTTAACTAAGCTTTTGCTGATGCATTTGTATTGACAACAAATGTGTTTTAATTTTAAAGCATAGAAAACATGCTTGTAAATAATTGCATGCATATTATGTCCTTTTCTGTAGGTTAAGTGACCCCTGTTCAAGCCGATGGGATGAAAGAAGCTTGTCCCAGAGATCCCGATCGTGGTCCTATAATGGATATTATTCAGATCTAAGTACAGCAAGACACTCTGATGGTCACCATAAAAAACGCAGAAAAGAGAAAAAGGTTAAGCATAAAAAGAAAGCTAAAAAGCAGAAACATTGCAGAAGGCACAAACAGACTAAGAAGAGAAGGATTATTGTACCATCTGACATAGAATCCTTAAAATCTTCCACCCGAAGAGTGAAATCCTCATGTGATAGAGAAAGGAGATCTCGTTCTTCCTCGTTGTCATCTCATCACTCATCCAAGAGGGACTGGTCTAAATCCGATAAGGATGACCAGAGCTCTTCCACCCATTCCAGCAGAGACTCATACAGATCAAAGTCTCACTCACAGTCTTATTCTAGAGGAAGCTCGAGATCAAGGACTCCGTCAAAATCCTCATCACATTCTCGAAGTAGATCAAAGTCCAGATCTAGTTCTAAGTCAGGGCACCAAAGAACAGCATCAAAATCACCAAGAGGAACAGCCTCTCAGTTAAATGAAAATAAACCTGTTAAAACAGAACCTTTAAGAGCAACAGTGACACAAAATGAAAATGTTTTAGTACAACCAGTGGTGGCAGAAAATATTCCTGTAATACCACTGAGTGACAGCCCCCCTCCTTCAAGGTGGAAGCCTGGACAGAAGCCCTGGAAGCCCTCTTATGAAAGAATCCAGGAAATGAAAGCTAAAACAACCCATTTGCTGCCCATCCAAAGCACTTATGGTTCAGCAAATGTTAAAGAGACTGGTAGTTCATCATCCTACCATAAAAGAGAAAAAAATTCAGAAAGTGATCGGAGCGCTTATTCAAAATACAGTGATAGAAGTTCAGAAAGTTCACCAAGGTCAAGGAGTAGATCTTCTAGGAGTAGATCTTATTCCAGGTCATACACCAGATCTCGAAGTTTAGCTACTTCACATTCAAGGTCTAGGTCTCCCTCATCTAGATCTCATTCACGAAATAAATACAGTGACCACTCACGGTGTAGTAGATCATTTTCATACTCTTCTGTTAGCAGTGATGATGGAAGACGAGCCAAGAGAAAATTTAGATCCAATGGGAAAAAAAATAACACCTCAAATAAAAGGCGCAGCAGCAGCTCTGAAAAGACACTTCGTAATAAATATGTCAAAGGCAGAGACAAGTCTTCATGTCATAGAAAGTACAGTGAAAGCAGGTCATCTTTAGATTATTCTTCAGACAGTGAACAGTCAAGTGTTCGGGTTACACAGTCAGCCCAGGAAAAAGAGAAGCAAGTCCAAATGGACATGAATAATAAACAAGAGAAAAACAGAGGTGAAGAGAAATCTAAGCCTGAACGGGAATGCCCTCATTCAAAAAAAAGAACTTTCAAAGAAAGTCCTTCTGATCACTTTAGAAATGGCAGTAAGCCCAAAAGGAAGAATTATGCTGGGAGTAAATGGGACTCTGAGTCAAATTCTGAACAAGATGTAACTAAAAACAGTAAAAATAATTCCAGGCCATCTTCTGATAAGGAGGAAGGTGAAGCCACTTCAGATTCTGAGTCAGAGTTGGGTGAAATTCACATCAAAGCCAAACCAGCAACTAAGTCTTCAGCAAATACTTTACTGCCTGATGGTAATAGTGCCTGGAAATCAAGCAAACAGCGGTCATCAACCTCTGATTCTGAGGGGTTCTATTCCAATTCAGAAAACAGTAGAGGAAAACCACACAAGCATAAACACAGCTCCAAGGAGCATCTTAAAAGGGAACATACCAAAAAAGCAAAAGAGAAATTGAAAGGGAAAAAAGATAAAAACCACAAGGCTCCAAAACGAAAACAAGCATTTCACTGGCAGCCTCCACTAGAATTTGGTGAAGAGGAGGAGGAGGAGATTAACGAAAAGCAAGTTACTCAGGAAGCAAAAGAGAAAAAACAACTTTCTGAAAACAGTGAAGCCGTAAAAGAAAATATTCCCCAAACTGAGAAGCCCTGTGAAGATGGCAATCTTTCAGGTAAACATAATCCAATAACGGTTTCATCAGATACTGATCAGCCTACTAAAGATGGTAGTAAACTCAGTGTGTCTCCCGCAGCTTTAAACATGGAGGAAAATGTGGTCAGTTCTCCCCCGAACATTCAGCATGTTGAAGAGAGCATCCCGAGCGGAGTGGAGGATCTGCTTCAAACAGATGACAACATGGAGATTTGCACTCCTGATAGGAGTTCCCCAGCAAAGGCCGAGGGGGCTTCCCCTCTAGGAAATTCAAGGCTTGACACCCCGGATATAAGCATTGTTCTAAAGCAGGATATGCCAACAGAGCATCCTGAGGCAGAGTTGGGAAAACAGGAAAGCAGCATGTCAGAAAGCAAAACGGTGGGTGAGGTGGGAAAACAGGACAGCAGCTCTGCCAGCTTGGCCACTGCTGTAGAAAGCACTGTGAAGAGAGAGGTGGCTGAGAAAAGCCAGACCAGCCTTATGGATAATAAATGGAAGCCCCTGCAAGGTGTGGGGAACCTGGCAGCACCGTCTGCTACTACATCAAGTGCTGTGGAAGTTAAGGCACTGACTACTGTGCCTGAAATTAAACCACAAGGCTTGAGAATAGAAATTAAAAGCAAAAATAAAGTTCGGCCTGGGTCTCTCTTTGATGAAGTAAGAAAGACGGCACGCTTAAACCGGAGGCCAAGAAATCAGGAGAGTTCGAGTGATGAGCAGACCCCTAGTCGGGATGGCGATAGCCAGTCCAGGAGTCCAAGTAGATCTCGAAGTAAATCTGAGACCAAATCAAGGCACAGAACAAGGTCTGTCTCCTACAGTCACTCAAGGAGTCGATCGAGAAGTTCCACATCATCTTATCGGTGAGCATTATTCTCTTTTCCTTTTTTTCTCCCAAGGAGACTCTGTTATTGTTTTGCTTGGACGACCATCAGAGTTAGGGACAAGATCACTATTTCCCAATATCTGGGAGGGAATAAGGAGAAAGCTCGTGCTGTGTGACTCACAGAGCAGACTGAAGACACAGGGAGTGGAGATTTCAGGGGAAGAAATTTGGGCTCAGGGTTAAAAAACTATTGCTGTCAATTAAAGCTCCATGGCAATTGCAGTGAGTTGCCGTGATAGGTGGCAAGTTCTTCATTTTTAAAGGAGGCCGCTCACTCTACTGTTAGTGATGCCTTAGAAGGGAATCTTGCATTTACAGAATATGTAGGATTTAGAGGTCAGTAATCTAAACCTCCATTTTATACAAGTGGAGGGTGAGGGCCAGAGAGGCAAAGTTACCTGACGAGGACTTGCATCTAGTTGATCTTTATTCAAGGGGCAGGAAATGGTAAAAATGATCATCTTAAGATTGATTGGTTGATTTTTGGTTCAAGTTAACGTCTAACTATTGTCATCAGCATAGACTGGCTAATGCAGAGAATGAGCATTTTTAAAACTAAAAAAATTGGTGATGGTGGTATGAAGTTAACAAGTAATTTGTATTCTCTTCTTTTCCTTGTAAATGTTTCATGGTTTTGCCTCACTGCCTCTGACTCATATCCTTTATTAAGTTGTGCTTGATTTTCATCACTTGAACTTAAAATGCAGTAAGAATCTAACTTTTTTCCTTCCTAGTTATCTATCAGTCATTTTCTTCCCTTACCCAGATTTCTTTAGAAATAGGAGCCAACATTTACCATCTACAATAACCATCTCCCATTTACTCTTCAGTTGCTTGCAGTTTGTATTCTGTGCCTTCCGTCTCCCATCTCACTCAGCTGACTAAGATTTTCAGGTACTTCTGCATGGCCAGTGCCAGGGCATGTTTTCAGTCCCTTCAGTCCTTCTAGAAGCCCTCTGCTAGTTCTCCTCATTCCCTCTCAGACCATTCCATGCTTGAGTTGTTGGCGTCTCTACCTCCTCCTGCTCTGACTCCCAACGAGGCCCAGAGAGCTGGTGAATCCTGACCTTTTCTCTCCGGGTTCATATTCTAGATGAAGGTGCATGTTGAGCTACTCCAGCCTCCTGTCTGCTCGGTGTGTACTTACCGTTTACACTCAGACAGCTCTGAGCTGTTGGTGACGCTGGCCATTCTCATCTACCTTCCTGCCCCTGCCTTTGGAGTGGGTGGTATTTCATTTCATACATGAAGACAGTGAAGCATGGAAACGCTAAGAAATTTGCTCTTAAGTTGGGCAGCTCACAGGTAGTGGACTGAGAGAGCTAAACTTTGCCTCCCTGTTTCAGTTACTTACGTGGGCCTGACTTCCCTTCTGGCCTGCAAACTCAGTGAAGTCAGGGTGTTTGCTATTCATCTTTCATTCACCAAACAGAGTCGCTCTATAATTGTTCGTTGAGTAAATGACTAGGATCGTATGAGAACAGAACGTGTCTTTGCCAATAAACTGCATCTGTCTTCCAAAACATAAGTACATACTGAATAAAACCTATGAAGATATTACCTGAGTAGCACATACACAGGGGTATTGTTCAGTTCCTGAGTGACAAGCATAAACTAGGGGAAGCAGGGTGGGGGCACAATTGCATTAAGTTTCTTGTTTGTTGTATTAAATATTAAATAGGTATAAATTTTTTTAATGATTATGGTATAAAAAATAATTTTAAATGGTATCTAGCTTTAAAAATAGAGCTTTGACATACCCAGTGTAGTCCTACCCGATGCTACCCTACTTTCTCTCTTCTCTCCTAGAGTTAAACATTGTTCTAAAATTCTATTATAATTTTGTTGTTTTTCTTTGTAGTTTTACTATAAATGTTTCTATTTATATATAATGTTGCTTTTGCTTGTTTTCAAACCAAATCCTTTTTTATATGTATAGATATTCTACGTTTGCCTTTTTCACTCAACATTATGTTCCCAAGAGTTACCTCTGTTGATACATGGCAGCTGTAGTTCATTTTCCTACTTTAGAATATTTCAGTATATATCTGTGTTAATTTTTTTTTAACCCATTCTACTGTTAATGGAGATTTGGATTGTTTCCTCTTCTGGTATTACAGGTAGGGCTCCTGTGAACATACCTGTATCAGCCTTTTCTGTTTTCTCTTTATTTTATCCTGTTCAGTTTAAACCCTCATTAGCCGTCTCTGTGATACCCACTGTGAGGAGTTCGTGAGAGACCTTTCCTCTTGTTGGGTTTTCCCCCTCCTGCCCTACTAGTAAGTAACAGCATAATGAGTTAACATGATTTATATTTTTTCCACTCTTACTTGTAGATCAAGAAGCTACTCCAGAAGTCGGAGCAGAGGGTGGTACAGCAGAGGCCGCACAAGAAGCCGGAGCAGTTCCTACCGCAGTTACAAAAGCCATAGGTGAGCTTGTGAATCCTGTCCTACTGTGGGGTCTCCATCTGTCTTCTTTTGAAGGCCTGCCCTGCACAGGCAGAGTAGGGTAGCTGTTGAAAAGGGTCTTGTCATTGCTGACTATCAGACAGGCCTACTTTCTCACCTAGTTCTTTCTTTCAAAGAGCTATTGGATTCTTACTGGCTGTTCTCAAGATGGGGTCTTATCAGAGTGAGGAAAGAGAAGCAGTAGAAATATTTAAAAGAGGCCCTGACTACCACCTGAACCCCCAGTACATCCTCTTTAACCTAAGTTTCCATCTGCAGTCATCTCTTGACTCAGGTTAGATATTGGGAAAGGAGGATTATTGAAAGAGGACAAAGGAAGAAGTGTGTGTGTGGTGGGTGACCCCAAGCTTCTGGTTTTCCCAGCTTCTTCCAGCTCCCTTTTGCCTCTCAGGTATTTACCACTGCTGCAGCTTCATTTTACTTACAAGTGTCCCACCTGTGTCTTCCCCCTTCCCCACCCAGTTCCTCCCCAGCGACTTTCTTGATATGCACCTCATAGAAGAATTGTGTAAAACTTCTAACCTTTCTTATGAAATCCAACATGCTTTTTTTAAAAATTCCAATATACTTCTGATATGAAAATGAAATAAATATAGCTGCTGGATTTCGTTGTGTTTTCTCCTTGATGGGCAAATAAATGTCTAGATTTTTGACGTAGCCTGTCCTGATCCACAAGTTGATAGCCCCTCATTTGATTCCTATTAGGACGTCCAGCAGGAGCAGATCCAGGAGCAGCTCGTACGATCCCCACAGTCGGTCCAGGTATGGACAGGGGTTGGGAAACCACCTGCGGGGGCAGAATTAAAAGGGCCTTGTTTTATAAAGCCCTTAATTCCCTTTTTTTTTTTTTCTTGCGTTATGCGGGCCTCTCACTGCTGTGGCCTCTCCCATCTGCGGAGCACAGGCTCCGGACGCGCAGGCCCAGCGGCCATGGCTCACGGGCCCAGCCGCTCCGCGGCACGCGGGATCCTCCCGAAACGGGGCACGAACCCGCGTCCCCTGCACCGGCAGGCGGACTCCCAAGCACTGCGCCACCAGGGAAGCCCCTTAATTCCCTTTTAAAACGTGTTGTATGTTATTGAAAAACGTATGTTTGTCTTTTTGAACAGTTTTTAATCTGTTGGCCCATTGTGCTTTAGTGTCAAAAGTGATAATTGATGTCGAATTGTAATGGCAGGGATTTATTGACTATAGTTGCCTAATAAGATCCATGAGATTCAGTTGAACTAACTCAGTGTTAATTTTGTGATATTTTTCAATGCAGAAAAGAAACTATAACATTTTTCTGTTTAATACGGTAAGTCTGATTTGGGGCAGTTGTTAAATGTTTCCAGTACTTGCTCTGCAGATGTGTCTTCATACTGTCATATAGTGCCCATGTTCTAAAAGGACACTTAGAAGCTAAAAAGCAATGGGAATACATGAGTATTTGAATGGGAAGATTTAGTGTTTGTTATTGCTGTTAAAGCAGGTCCTACACTTACGATAGCTACTATAGCAGGAGTCGGAGTCGAAGTAGAAGCCAGAGGAGCGACAGTTATCACCGAGGCAGAAGCTACAATAGGCGGTCCAGGTGGGTCTCTGTTCTTTCAAGCACACTGTAAGTTACTGTGGGCACTTGGGGTGTGGGCTGAGAGACGCTGTAGAAGAGAAAGCACCATCTTCTGAGGAGAAATACTTCTTTCTCTTCCTGAACTTCATCAACCCAAAGGCAGTTGCTGAAAGTGGCCTTTGTGTTAAGAGGTGCTGGGTAGTATTTACTGGTGGTTGTTAATGTTTGAATCTAAAATGGATTTTTAAATATTCACATATCCTTGGACAAACATTTCTTTTGGAAGGAATAAGGAGAGAAGGCCACTCAAACCATGGCCCATTCTTTAAATAGGGTTGCTTGCTAGAACTAACAGCCAATTTGTCAGTGTTTTAAATTTTAAAAAGGTAATATTTTAAAAAATGTAACGTAATAAGATATAATACTTAGGATTGCAGTTTATATGGTTAAAAATGTTTATATATTATATGTATTTATAGATATGTTTTATGTAACATATGGCTCATACTGTGGGTTGCTTTTTGTAATGTCCCTTTCCTGGTGGCTTCTGGTCTTACCCTTCCCCCGTACCTTACAACTACAGTCAGTCGTGCTTGTAGGATATCGGTGTGATCTGGACACTCCCTTGTTTGAAACTCTTCAAGGATGCCCCACTGCCTTCAGGGGCAGGTCCATGCTCCTCAGCGTTGCATGGAGGCCTCTCCACCTACCAACTCCAGCTTGGGCTTTTCTGTCTTCCCTGCACTAACATTCTGGAACCTTTTTTTTTTTTCTGCCTAGAGATTCACATGCCCACTTCACCATCTCCCCTCCTGCCTCTTGAAATAGCCAATTCTCACCTACTCTGCAGGTCTCCACTGCAACCCACTCACTGCCCCAGGGAAGCCCTTCCTGACTGCTCACTCTGAGATACGTTGCCCTCCCACCACCTGTGCTTTATTTATCTTGCCGCCTATTCTATCTATACTATCCTTGAGCCCCAGGAAACTCTACATAGTCTACTCTGTGTGTGCCCTTTGCATCTAGCAAAGTGACTGGCTCTCTGTGAATATTTTTCGAAATAACTGAATGGTGACCATAACCAAGTCTTCTTGACTCACTCTCCCCGTGGTCCTGTCCCTACCCCACCTCACCCTCACCCCTCATTGGCCTCCCATTTTGATTTGATTTTGATTTCCTTGTCTTTTAATGAAACTCTCTTTGTGGGCCTTTTTTCCCTTACTTCCTCAGTCTAATTAAATATTGATGTTCATTTTGTGTAACATGGAAAATTATTCTCACATATATGAGTGGATTTCAAGTAATTCCCCAGGAAGTTTCTTTATTTTATCTTAACCTTGATAATACCACCATCTGTCATTGACATCTTTGAAAAGTCTGCAGTATTGCCACAGTCAGTACCCCACTTGCCAACCCACTATGCTGTGCCTCTTCAAGCCACTTGCTTTCAGGCCACTCATATCAAAAAAGAAGCTACAAGAGGAATTCAAAGGGTTGACAATTAAAAGGTATTTCTGTTTTTGTTTTGTTATACAGGAGTTGTAGATCTTATGGCTCTGACAGTGAAAGTGACCGAAGTTACTCTCATCACCGGAGTCCCAGTGAAAGCAGCAGATATAGTTGAAAGTGTCCCCTTTTTTTGATACAAATTGTATCTTATTTGTAAATATCTGGTAACTTAAAAGTTTAAGAAACTTAATGGCAGTCTGTTGTTCTGTTTCAATATTAGAGATGAAGTTGAAAAATAGACACTTACTGTTATTTGTTCATTTACATGTGTGTAGAATTTAAAATACAGATATGTCTCCTAAAAATATTTGTATGCCACATTTTACAGTAGCCAACTATGGAAATGAATTTCATTTTCTTGAATCAAGAAATCATGAAATTTAAATATAATTTGCAATATTATTTTAACTAGATTATTTCTCTCCATCTCATGTATTTCTTAGAATACAGATTCTTTTTGCCCGTTTTTAAGGTTTTAGCATATATGCTGCCAAGCATAGAACTGTGAAGGAGAACTGTGAAAGGTGACCAAATACTTATATACCAATTACACAGAATCTTTTTACATGTGTGCTCTTAAAAGCAAACTGCCCAGAACTGATACTAATGGTAGCCAGGAGTATAAGGCAGTGGCTCTGGGGTTCTTAATTCATTCCTTACTTCTTTGTTGTCTCAGAGGATCAGGAAAGTGGTCACCATACAGCCCACTCACTGTATTACTTCAGGCTGGCGGGTGAGGTTAAGAAGAGTAAATCAGCCTTAACTGTAAATACCTGCACTGTCTCTAAAGCCCTAATGTTTTATGTGCTTTCTAATAAATACTATCAGAAGTTCAGTTTGTAAAAAGACAATTCTATTCCAGTTCATGCTTTGGTGCTTGGTACCTTTTGGTGCATTATTCTTACATACTATACATTAGAATTCCGTCAGAGAGAGAAATGAATTTTTTAAAATTCATTGGCACCAAACATGGGTCCTTCTAAGCTCTATTCACTTTAAATATTTGGAGGGCCTCTCTCAAGCACAGGTGTGGGCTGGAGGCCATGGAGCAGGCAGGATTGGCATGGGGTTATGTGGCCACTGGGGTCTGCTGCGCAGAACTGATGCGTGTGCCCCTGGAGGAGTTGATTGGAGAGTGGACTTCAAAAGTAACACCAAGATCTCCCTGCCGCCATCCTGGGCACATTTTGCAGGGCTTTACTTTTAAGTCTTTCAAGTAAGAGGCAGATACAAGAGCAGTTGAACTGTTCTCAGCACCCGCCAGCATGTTTCCCTGTTTCAGTGGCCTGCACTGACTCAGTGAAGCCTTGTGTGAGATGGTAAACCTACAACAACAGACAGGGAATCGGGGTGTGCAGTACTGCATAGATTACACACTTTCACAGTCTTGGGTGGTTCCTGCAAAAATGATTTGACCTGTAAAAACTGGTGAGATTTTTTTTTTTTTTTTTTTTTTTTTTTGGGG